GTCGTATACTACAAATCGCACGAGACAATTGTGCAATGTAAATCAGCCTTAATGATTGTCTTCTTTGTTTGATATTTTAAATGTCTGTGTTTCATAAATAATGAATTAATGTTGACTAATATAATACTGGTTAATTCTAAATCAATGTGTACATAGCCATCATCAGATAATCATAATGACATACATGTAAAGCACTGTTCTATCCATATGCATTGTCTACTTGATGTTGCTCTTTATTCTTTCAATCACTTTGGTATCCAGTCATTCGTTTCCATTCACTCTCTTGTGCAAGAAGTGGTTGCTTTGTGTCCTAGTTAGTTCAAGTCACGCACAGGTAAATTAACTCAATCTTTTAATAGATCATACAATAATTACAATGCATGCACATAAGGCCATTATTCTAGGAAATGTAAATCTGATGAAGAAAAACAATTATAGTCATAATCTTGAAAGTCAAGCAATTCGAAATAGCAGCTTGCACCAGCACTGATTGGATTTCAGATTTTGTGATMGTCAAAAAATCGGAATAACGATGCATCGATTACTTGCATGTCAGTTTGATCGATTATCGATTAATTATTAGATTAAGTATTTATCTGTTATTTAGTGTTTTCTATAGATTTTGTATCAAATATACAGTAACGTGTTTTCAAAATAACATCGTCATTAGACTGTATTTGATAGGAGTTACATTTATCTTCATCCATRTTTTCTCCTGAGTTTTCTTTTGTGYCATACTTCACACTGGTGCTTTAGTTTCTAATGTATTTTGATTATTACTATTATTTCAGTCAAACCTGAGAACCTTACGGTTGTAAACGCGTCAAAAGGTACCTTAGATGTCGATGAAGGACAACTAATTGACATCATTTGCAATGCCGATGGATACCCAGATCGTTATTTTCTCTGGCAGAAGAGTGACCAAATGATACAGAGCTCAAATAATAAAAACAATACAATCACTATCAATAATGCCACTTCGAATGATGCTGGGGTTTATACATGTACTGCAGTTAATTTGGTGGGAAATGAAAGCATCAGTGTTACATTACGTGTTAAATGTAAGTTCATTCTATAAGTACTTTCTCAATTATATACGGAAGGCTTAGTGCCTATTGGATAATTCTAAAAAAAGTCCCCTCAAGCCTTTTGCATTATTTAGTAGCAAATCATGTGCTCTATGTTCCATGTTACTAGACTTATGCGGTCATTTTGAAGATGTACTGTAGTTAGCAATACTCTAGCATGCCACCTATTTTTCCAGCCAGTGTTTTTTTCTAAAGCTCATATGATTCTCTTATCGACAGACATTAGCAATGCAGTTTGTGCTGTTCCTGCTTCAGCCAACGAGGGCGATGCTATGGTTTTAAATTGCTCAGCAGTTGGCTATCCACCTGTAAGCTATACATGGACTACACCAGGCAAAATACATCAAGGACCTACCACGAGTATTTCAGCCACTGCCGATCTGAATGGTGTGACAGTAACATGCAAAGCCACAAATACATTTGAAATGAGCACATGCACCAGATCACTGACAGTGAACTGTAAGTATTCATTTTCTACGAACAATGTACATAAAGCAAATCTTACTTCAACTACTGAGTGAGTGCTCATTGCTTGAGCGATGCGGACAAAAGGACTTTGGTTCTACTGCTGTTTTTAACCGTCTTCGCATAAGAGCTGAAAAACTCTATAGAAAAAGAACAGCTATATTTGGAATATTTCAGGGAGTCGAACACAAAGTCTATTGTGTTGGCTTTGCTTATCTATGCATAAATTGCTGTTTACATTTGCAGCTTACTGTTTTGTTTGTGTTTTAATGAAACAAGATTAATAAAAACCTTCAAAATCGTTAGCATGGAGGCGTTATAACACCACACTTTTTCTACCTTAGAAGGAAGGAAACATTTCGACTAATACTATTATGGCTTTGAGATACCAATGATCTAATCACAGTTGTGATAATTGTGCTAAATGGACGCCGAGAAAAAAATATACTTCAGACACATGTTCTTTAAGCTGCTCCACTTGTCAATTGCCGTCTTCGCTGGTTGCAAAGATGTGGTTACTAGAAACATAAGTTTTTCTTACACTGCTAATATACTTTCTGTGTCTTCGTTTGAATTGATAGACAAACCACGTAATGTAACAGTGTCTCCATCACGACTGGTACTGAATGAAACAGAATCATTGAATCTCACCTGTGATGCATCAGCTAATCCTGCTGGAAGCTACTCGTGGTCATTGAATGGCAAGATTCTGGAAGGGGAAACTAGCCGCATGTTGACTAAACACAATATCAAAATACAAGATGCTGGAGAATATATCTGTACAGTTACGAATAGCCTTGGTACTGATACAAGTGGCAAAGCCGTTGTTGATGTCCCACGTAAGTTCTTATGCGAGTATAATAATTAAGCATATCGTACATGGCAAACAGTAAAGGAGACACATGACATGCGCGTGCCGTTCTGAAATGAAAGAGCATATTTTCACGTTTTTAAAGCGAAACGCATAATGTAATGATCTACTCTCGTTTCCTCTATTGAACTAAAGCTTTTGAATGGTCGATCTTTCGATTTCATTATAGCGAAAGGTTTCTACTGTATAAAAATTTTACAATAGCCGATTTGCTTTATGGCGTCATTTACTACAACTACCAGAATGCTTTGCCAACTTTCTTTTGTAATGCAATTAGTGTCAATTGTTTTATCAATCTGCAAGGGGATTAAAAATCTCGGTAACATCCAAAATGCTTGTTTAAATCTGATTTTCACACATACACCTAATTGAAAAAACGTAGTCGTGTTCGAAAAGGTCACATCATAGAAGCTAAGACCGAAAGGGATTTTGAGTACCACTAAATTGGGATTACATTTGCATATACGGTGTATACTAAGCAAGTAGAGCTAGTAAGATTAACAGCATGATAGTCTTTTATGCTGGAGAGTTGTTTGTTATGAAATTAGCCAAATTGTTTGTCTTCCCAAGTACCCTTTCGGTCTTAGCTTCTGTGATTTGACCTTTTTGGGCCCGACAAAGTTCCTTCAATTAGGTCGTATATTAGGTGAATTATTTGAGCTATCAGCAGTGTGCTTGTAATATTGATTTCATGTCGCGTTAGCCAATTTCCAAGCTGCCAATCAATTGATCAGAATGGCGTTACATTTTGAAAATAATCCACTGAAAATGCAGATACTCCAAAAGCAAGCATTTGACTAGCTCTCCTTCCGGATAATACCGTATTTACTCGAATAGACGCCGCGGCGTTTATTTCATTTTTCACGGTCCAGGTGCGGCGTTTATTCGAGGGCGGCGTCTATTCGGGGGCGGCGTTTATTGAAAAACACTTTATTCAGTACTAAATACCGTACTTTATATTGTATATTTTTTACTAACAAACAGTAACGATTCTCAATATATAAATGTCGTGCTCATTTTGTCGATTCAATTTGTGATAATGTCCTCCTCGTGGTCGGAATCTATCAGCTGCTGAGAGCAAAAAAAGTAGTCACTTCGAAATAAAAAAATGCTGGCATCATTATATTCGAACCCAGATGCGGCGTCTATTTGAGGGCGACGTCTATTCGGGGGAGGCGTCTATTCGAGTAAATACGGTAAACAAAACCGGCTCTATCATCAGCGTTCAAAGATGATACAGGGTGGTAATAGTTCTAAAATTGCACGTGCATTCTCTATGAAAATTTCTTTTCCCGAGTAGCGTAGCCAATCAGAACGAAGGATTTGCAACAGTCCACTAGTATGGTAATACTAAAAGCTGATAGCTAATCTACGTGGCTCCGGCTATAAAAACACGATAATGTAGATTTTTCTATCTAAAAAATACGCTAAAATATACATTTATTCAAAAGAAATATTCATGTTCTTACCATCATGGTACCATGATAACCATAGGTGATGATGGTTAATTACCAGACGAAGAACCCCGACTGATAACTTGCTGCATGACCCCGTTCCTATCAGTATTATTCACGTGTTTGGCTTGAGCAACATTGCAGTTCAGTCGACTCTTCCTCGTTCTTTATACTCGTCCATATTCTGCTGCACGATTGCCCTCTCGTCGTAAGACAACCTCTAGCATCGTCTCAGTTCATATATCCTAATCAACTCATGATGTCCAAAAAATCGCGTTCAGTCAAAACCGAATCTCCTCAAGAACGATCAACATTGTTTGACCAGTTGGCACACCTGGAAGACTTGGACATCAACCAAGGGAACTTCCCAACCTTACCCGCGCCAACATCGAGATCATCACCTACCGTCCGAAACCAGTCGACTTTATCTCAGGAACTCGAGCTCGCGAAACTTCAAAAAGAGAAATAATTGCAGCTCGAGTTAGAAGTCCTGCGACTAAAACAATGCGCCACACCCCCCAATGACTCGAGCACAGACCTGAGAAAGACCCAAGACCAGGCTAAAACTCAAGATCAGGCAAAGAAAAGGGTCATTGACTGGCCGCAGGAATTTGTCCCAGGTACGTCTAGCGCCGCGGATTTCCATGCTTTAGATATGCCTAGTTTCATAACAGGGTACATCGCAATGATCAAACCATATGACACAGAAGCAAAAGAAAACATGCATGCCGTTCTAGAGTTAATATCTGCAAAAGCAATTAGTTATTCTTGGAACAGCGTACGTGGTTTCTATCACTACATAGCTCGTCAAGTCGAACAGCGTCGTTTAGAATGGTCCCAWCTCGACGAAATCAGAAACTACAGCTTTACGTTCTTCAAGCATTCGGATCTCCGATCGACMAACACAAAGTCWAACACATCTCGTCAAACAACAACAGCAACGACGACCAACGGAGATAAAGGTTCTGAGAAAGGCTGTCAGGCGTGGAATTACAAAGGTTCMTGCTCYTGCGATTCCTCGTCTKACGGTTTCGTAAACTCACACGTGTGTCGCGTATGCAAGTCGCCCGAACAYCCAATGCTCAATTGCCCAAAACGTCGAATGCCGATTCCCGGGAACAATTGACCAAAGGATTTATATACAGATGGCTACACATCAACGGATAATGACCTCGAACTCTCAACGGACAACGCGAAAACGGACACGAACATTATACACCGCGATATCTCCACAAAGGCCGTCGTGAACCATTTACTGGCATCAAAGGATAAACGACCTAAYGCATACGGCGCTAAAGTTCCGGTTTCAACGCAATTAAACATYGAAATGTGGAAATCATATTTAACTGATTACGTAGATCAGGATATCGTAAACTTTTTACAATACGGCTGGCCGATAAACTACACTTTAGACATTGATCCTAAGTCATCAAYAACTAATCACAATTCAGCTGAATCTAATCCAGAACACGTTCAACACTACCTAAACACCGAAWTGAGTTTTAGCGCGATCGCAGGGCCTTTTGCGACAGATCCGCTCAACCATTTAATAACATCTCCACTGCAGACTGTTCCAAAACGTGGTTCTRACAAAYGGCGAGTTGTCATGGACTTAAGTTTCCCACATGGTMAATCAGTTARCGACGGAATACCGGCCAACAGCTACCTGGATTCTGAATTCAAACTCCATTTACCTRGAATCGACCGTTTGCGTGACTTTATCATTACAAAGGGCCAGGGTTGTTTAGTATATAAGAAAGACCTAAARYGTGCCTATCGACAGTTTCCGGTAGATCCAAAAGATTACAAATATCTTGGTTTCWACTGGAAGGGAAGGTTGTACTTCGATATACGCTGCCCTTTTGGTCTTCGTTCTTCTGCACTAATATGTCAACGGTCTACGCANTCTGCAGCGTTTCAACGGGATAACCTTAATTCAACCTCACCCTCACGCATTTCAGGATATTTTATTTACAACAGATGCGTCACTTCATCGAGGCGGAGCAACCTGTTTCAACGAATGTTTCTCCTTTGCCTTCCCGCAGCACATTGAAAATTTGAACTTACATATCAACGCCCTCGAACTTTATACATTAGTGACAGCCGTACGTTTATGGGGCCCGAGTTTGGCGGGAACATCGTTTCAGATTTCTTGTGACAACGAAGCTACCGTGCAAGTTGTACGAACTGGACGCTGTAGGGATAACTTCATGCAGCACTGTCTACGACAACTTTGGTTCACAACTGCTATCTATGATTTAGAAATTCAAATTAATCACATACCCGGATCACATAACATCTTGGCGGATTGTCTCAGCCGACGAGACCTTGATAAGGCGTATGATGCCCTGATCTATTGCATTTTGAAATTGCTTAGCTAATCTCATAATATTATTTTTTTAGGTTGTCAAAGGGGAACAAGTAATCCAATCAATGTTGCTCTCTTGGACACTTTAAGTCAGAAATTAATCAGTACGGCGTATGCTCAATCAACTTTGAAAAACTTAAAATCGCAGATAAGTAGTTATTTACGATTTTGTGAATCTATTGAGTCCTCGCCTTTTCCAATAACGATAGCTTTTATCATGCGATATGTCACATAYCTCGTGTCACTCGAGCGCGCATATGGCGGTGCCTAACACAAGCAGACTGCAGACTTGCAGACTGCAGACTGCAGACCGTACTTTATTTGTATATATGTATCTATCATGATTTACTTCAATCAATACAATGTCCTCTGATAATAAGTTTGGGCTACCTGTGCAATGACAACAAACCGTACGAAAATATTCCCAAAGCTACAAATAAAGACCTTGGTCGGATAAATTATGTTTAATAAATAAGCTGGTATTCATATTTTTAGGTTAAACTAGTAGCTTGTTTATCGGGTACTTGTATGTAACGAATTTATAAAGAGACTCATTATGAACAATCGTTGAACTGAAAGAAATCTCGATTCTCAAGCGCAAATCGACATATTCTTGTAGTACTTTTCTTAAGTAGTATCTCAATAAAATGCAAAATACTCACTAAATTCCTCAATTTTTAGCTTCATAGAAAAATGTAACTTGTTATTTACAATAATAAAGATGCAGTTAAGCTTATTACGTTTTTGATTTTTCACTTCCAAGTTCAAGTTGCTTTGTTTATCTATAGTTTATACCGAAGATTCTATGCACTCAAAAACTACAAAAAATAGTAATACTTCAAGCAGAATACTCATAACTAGTTGTTGCAAGTTTTCGGATACATTTTTGTATAAATAGCTGATTTTTTTCCTATTCTACTTCTAGTTTTGAATCGCACTTGACAAAAAATGGTGACGTCATGTTTACATACATGTTTACATACTCTGATACAAACACGGCAGTCGGCCAATCAGAACGCGCGTAGTATCCAAGTTATTTTATAAAGTCAGATCTCAAAGTTACTAATCAGTTCGCATATGTAACTGTACGCGCATCTAAGACCATTCAATATCAAGAGCGCAGCTTCACAGTACCTCTACCAAGGATTCCAGGTAGTTTACTATGCCCAGTTAGAGCACTTGTTAAACATTTAAGTCTTAACAGGATCCCAGCTAAAGCACCACTTTTTTCCATTCAGACGGGAACTCTTAATTCTCCAATAACTTACTCTATATTTTGCATTTTTTTGACAAAAGTGCTTCGAGCAATAGGATTAGATTCTCGATTATATTCACCTAATAGTTTTCGCAGAGGAGGCGCYACATTCGCTTTCGAATCACTAGTACCGTCAGAGTTAATCAAAGCACAAGGTGATTGGCATAGCGACTCTTATTTAGTGTACTTAGAAATGACTGATAAACAAAAGCATAATGCCGCATACCATTAATATACATCATCAAATTAACATCACCACAAGACACAAGTTTTGGGCACTTTGGCGTTTCTTTTTTCTCTTCTAGTTTATTTATCCTGCGCGGCTTAGGGAAGAGCGTTCCAGCCGTGTTAATAAACTATTTTGCCCAAACCTCGAGTCTTGTGTGTTTGATATTTAGTGATTGTTTAACAAATAGATCTCATTTTTCCGTGCGTGTGTACTCTAATAGACACACAGATGACGTCAAAATGTAGTGAGAACAAAAAAGTACGCACGAGACGCAGTCGAGTGCGTGACTGTTGTTCTCACTACATTTTGACGTCATCTGTGTATCTATTAGAGTACACACGCACGGAAAAATGAGATCTATCTGTTTTATACAACAAACAATTAGTTTTGACGTAATCCGTGTATCTATACTTTGATAACACACGAAAGCCAACCAATCAAAACGTCTGATTTTACTGAAAAGTTGTATAAACCACGATAACCATAGGTGATGATGGGTAATTACCAGAGGAAGAACCCCGACTGATATAACTTGCCGCATGACCCCGTTTCTATCAGTATTATTCACGTGTTTGGCTTGAGCAACATTGCAGTTCAGTCGACTCTTCCTCGTTCTTTACCCTCCCACACCACCCATGTAATCGTTTCTTTTTTCTCTTCTAGTTTATTTATCCTGCGCGGCTTAGGGAAGAGCGTTCCAGCCGTGTTAATAAACTATTTTGCCCAAACCTCGCGTCTTGTGTGTTTGATATTTAGTGATTAAGTTTTATGGAAAACGTTTTAGAGACTTTCTTGGTATGTTTACGTTGAACATTTCTGTTCAATTAACTCTTGGATTTACATGTATTCTCCTTTGCAAAGCAACCAAACGGAGATAAGTAAAAAACGCCTTCCTTTTTACCACCCAAACTACACAAAAATGAAAAATGAGTTTTTTTCAAGAATCATTCCTGTATCTGTCCCGAGATAGATCTACACTAAATCTTGTGGCTTTCTTGTTATCATTAGAAACTTAGTTTTCGAGTAAGAATTGATTTTGTTTTAACTAAGAAACACACTAAAAAGCATATCTCGCCATTTTGTTTTTTCTCCACTCATGCATTTGTGGTGTATGAGCTGATAGCCCAGTAGTAAAGAAACTAATCAGAGCGCTTGCTTTCTCAAATCCAGTGATTGTGTATATAGTAAAACTAGACGCATAACTGCGTAAACTCGGGGTTCTTGTTGATAAAATAGTAGTGAATTTGGTAAGGCTCGTTTACACTTGCGTGTTTGCCATATATTTACTATATAATTCGCTTTTGATAAGATAGGTAGCTAGTTTGATAGACAATTCATGGTATGCAGTAATATAAATATCACAATTTTAATAACTTAAAAGTCATTTAGAGAAATTAAAAAAATAGCTGTGTCTACGCCAACTTCGTTTTATTAAAAGAACATGAACAAATATGAAGACAATAACAACAATCTTATTATGTCATTTTACATTTTACATGTAAGACAAAATTAAGATAAACCTCTATTCGATGATAAACAACCCATCTTAGCTTTCTACTTTTGTTATGTAAGCGTCTTAGAAATCGTTTTGGTATCCTACTGGTGGGCTCACGACTACGACTACAACGTACATGTCGACAATTATAATAAACAAACCTTGAATAACGAGATCTTGTACTACTTGTAATATTTATTGTAACTTCTGCATCATTGTATACACCATAAACAGTCATACAAATAGTTTTATCTAAGATATCACAATCACTAAACGATGAAGTGACAATAGTTTTGAGTGTAGTTATCGAAGAATTGGACTGTATTGAACCCTAATAAAGTTAATATCAATACTATCATAAGGGTAAAGCAAAAAATATTTCCTTCAATGAAAAATAATAACAGAAGCAATGTAGTTAGCATTAAGGAAGAATATAGTGATAGTCTTTGTCAAGCTCTCTATCACTTTGATAGTCACATGGCAGGCTATAAAGACAGAGTCTTTTATTCTCTCTGCTAAATAAAATAGTTGCAATCGTCGGTTTTTCCTCAGTGAATTCTGTTCGCATTCCTTAGAGAAGTCCTTTGTATTTTCAGAGCCTGTAGAATCAGGTAGTATAGAGTTCGCTTTTGATAAGATTGGTTCGAATTTCACGATAAGTTTCACGATAAATTTCAAGATAAATTCGCGGTATCTCTCAAAATGACCTTTCGAAAAACGCTCGACATCTTTTAGTGTGGCTATACCGCGAATGGTGTGTGGATTTGTAAGAGATTTGAGAGTGTTTGAAGTTGAATATATGTCTTCCACCTCGTATAAAGACGACACCTCGACGACATCATGTAAAGATAGCACATGGAAGTTGTGAATGTCACGTGATTCCTACCCAGTGCATTCTAGTTTGGCCGAGACCGGCACTTTGTGTACCAAATACGACTACCATGACAAAGAAGGCCGAAACCTAAACTCGCGGTTCCTGTGGAACCCCGAGTAATAATAATAGATACAAGTATTGTGTTATACCTATTTTTATAACTGACACTATAGTAATAGCTGAATAATCTTATCTATTCATCAACAGACATAGGGGCTGCAAATTGTACAGCCAGTCCTGATCCTGTGCAAGATGGCAATAATATCACCCTAAAGTGTTCAGCTTCTGGTTATCCAGCTGTTAACTATAACTTGACGGTGGGAAACTTAAAAGTTTCTGAAAATGTAATAACAGTCAAGGCAGAAGCCAGTCTTAATGGTGCTGTTATGACATGTAAAGCTGTTAATGACTTTGGAACCAGGAATTGTACGAAAACAGTAACAGTGCACTGTAAGTATGTGATATTGATTTGATATGGGTGTTTCAAGAGTTCAGTTTTGCGTATGATCTTGTTTTCCTTCTTGTTTTTTCTTCTGTTCTCTTTGAGAATGTATCTTCGTTAATGTTTCGTTTTCCCAGGATTTCTTCATATGCTTGTTTTTTAGGACGGTTTTTCTTTTGTTTTCTTGCCTTCGTACGTTTTGATTACACTACTTTTGATTGTATTGTTTGTATAAGAATATTCTAGCTTCTCCTTGCAGAGGTCTTTCTCACGTACGTACTATGGTATTGGTGTGCAAATAGAGCGGATTTCGTATGAGTGGGACACCGTTACCGCACGGTTACCGCACGGTTACCGCACAGTTATCTGACCTAGCCTGCACAATTTTGGTGAACCAAAGGGGCACTAGAATTTGGTTACAGTACGATTACGGTCACAGTACAGCACCATCCGTTTCCCACTCATACGAAATCCGCTCTATCGGTATTGTACTACTATACGGCACAAGTAAACTTGATGTTAGTTGATCACTAAAGAGCGAAAGTACTATTACACACAGGCGCTAATATGCCAACCTTATGTACGTAGTACTACTGTCACTGCCGTACTGAGTACAAACGTGTTAGTATACAAACGCCACTATGATAACCTATGCGAAGTACGTGGAACGTATTAGTACGCAAGCGACCCCATTCCAACCTTATCTACGTAGTACTGTCACTGCGAATGTATTGACAACGAACGTACTATATTGGAACCAATAAGTGAGACGATTGATATTTTAGTTTACATCTCTAACTTCGAAATAGAGGACTTTTGCTCTAAAGCGAAATTGCACCAAAAATACAGCTAGACGCTCTTAGAGCGTGAAGTCGGGCTAGCTATTTTGGAAAATTGAGAAATTACTTGTGTGCGGATGAGCGAAAGACTTTTAACACGTTAAGATGAAATTCGTATCCCCAAAGAAAACCGGATTACTGTCAGTAATAATATAGTGCAATCATAAAATATGTTAATGCATATAAACTCTAATGTAAATACCTTTTACACAGAGGCAATAATAAAATATCTTGTATCTTGTATCTTGCAGAGGGAGAGGTTAAAGCTATTTTCTTATGCTTCGGAGGGGAGGGGGGGGTTCTTAATTTTCTGCTTGAGAAATCTGGTTTTACGCCCCCCTTTCTGGTAATTATTGTACAGTCCCTTACTAAATATATTTTGTTTTTTGTTGCTTTTTTTTGCTATAAAATTGAAAGAAATTATATGGCTATTAACGCTACCAAAAGAGTACACTTTCAAACAGGTTCTCTTTAGCAGATTGTAATACAAATTAAAATGCGCTTAGAATGTCCGGTATGTGATTCTTCGCAATGGCGGATTGTTTGTTTTGATATATAGTTTAACGATAACAAGTGGACGCAAAGACAACCATCACATTTTTTATCAGAATGTTCACAATGCTTGAACGCAGTAAAAACTGAGTGTTGAGAAGTGCAATTCATTGATGAATTCGTATAGAATATAACATATAAGTGTCAAATTTAACACAGTGCATGTAACGTTTTTTAATAAGTATCACGATTTAATGAACCGTTGGAATTTTTCTGAAATAATCGAGTAAAAAGCAAGTACCATAATTTATCCATTCTTYCTTGTTCTAGGCAACAGTCTCAGATATTTTTTATCATTCATATTTAATCATCCATAGTAATATATATTGATTATCGTTGTAAATACTGTTTATATCAATAAAAACCTCTAATATTCCAAAGATTTCATAATTTTTCTCATTAGTCACTTCTACTTTTTCTGGCAATTGCCATTTTCCGCACATAAAATTGAACATCCCGTTTTTCCCGGTTGTATCATTTCACTCTTTTATTTTTAAAGGTCAAATGGTTCACTTTTCTCTTCTTTCTCTTTGAATTATCTTAATTATTAATTATTATTAATTATTTTTTTAATTATTTTTAAGTGAAGTTGCTGGAAATATGTTGAATATTCACTAGTATTTGAATTAAGGTCTCCTAGTTTTGATAGATAAATAATAAATAAAAATATATAAAACAATAAAGAAATAATAAATAAAGCAATAATAAATTCTGAAAATTGTTAATTAGTTATTATGAAATCGGGTCGACTCCGTCACCCCGACCCGCCGTTCGAAATCCCCGAGGATCCAATCGGGTCCCTACCCCGATCGGATGATGACCCCGATGACCCGATTGGTAAACGGATCCGATTTTGTGGACCCGATACCCGATGACCAGAATCCTTGAGTGATCCATATTTTGACTATCATATAATTATATATGAAAGTAAATTATGGCGTAGAATACCTTAAACTAGTTTTTTTTATTAACTGGTTGATGGGATTGATGTGCTATTCAATCTAAATGTTTATTCACGCACCGCGATATTCTTTTCTGATGGGTTGGCGAAACGATGTCAAAACACTAGAAATGTCGAGCCAGGAGTGATATCCTGTCTTTCTCAATTTTCCAAAATAGCTGGCCCGACTTCACGCTCTAAGAGCGTGTAGCTTATTCAAAACAGGCAAATTCCGTTAGATGTAACTAAAATTGTCCTGGAAGATCATATAAACACCTCTTATCATATCTGGTTAATTCAACAATTTTTAATGCATGTTTAAAGAAAAGAACCTCCTTAACGTATACTATCGACGTTTTTGTACATGGACCAACTTATACTAGTCAGGGGAATCTCCAAAGGCGACTGTTTCAAACAAATTCTAAATAAATGCTTAAAATGCTCTTAAAACTGATATGCTATCCATTACTAATGCAACTGTAGACTAAATGTCGTCATGCATTTGATAATCAGCGCTAGTAGCATCAAACAGTTTGGAACGATGCTCGTCCATCTATAACGTTTAAGCTTCCAGTCAAGTCACGTAATAAAATAGCCAACCTAATAGTTGATTTAAAATACTTCCGGTTCCAAAGCTCAAATTCTTAACTTCCGTTCAAAAAGCGACCTGATACATAGAAACATAGATTGACAAAAAGTTAGAACTTAAGTCGCGCTGCTAGAAGCCCGACTAAATATGGTCTAAAGTATATTTTTTTCGTTCACGTAAAGATCGAACATTTTCAAATCACTTAAATTTAATTAAACTTCTACTGAGTTTCAACATATAATAGCATTTAATTAATTTTTGATTTTTTTGAATTGCGTCGGCGGTTTTCTGTTGTTTCTGTTTTCTGTTGTCACGGCGGACCAGTCAATTTTTGATATTACTAACATGGCCGCCGATCTTTTTCTTTTGATTCAGAAGGAAATGATTAAGTTATGGTTGTCTTACTTTCAGATAAGCCATACAACATCCAGGTGTCACCAACAAGTGTGGATTTGAACGAAAAAGAATCATTTAATCTCATTTGTAACGCGTCATCTAATCCTCCTGGCGAGTACTCCTGGTCATTCAATGGAAATGTTTTGGATGGTGAAACCGATAAAGTATTAGCCAAACGTGACATATCACGTGATGACGCAGGAGAGTATAGGTGTACGGTTACTAACAATGTTGGTAGTGGTGCAAGTAATATCTCTGTGGTTAAAGTTCGATGTGAGTACTTTATCCACCAACGATATACTGTACTCATACTCCAATAATCCGTTGGCCTCCAGACCAGCTGTGCTGTTATTATTAAAAACTGAAACATCTGTACTTTTCCTGAAAAGAACTTTACTTTTATCTCTCCTCCAAACTTTTGTATCTCTTTGCGCACGGTGAAAGTTCTATAACTATGTTCAAAATGTCTCCAATCCTATCTTTTGTGATTCTATGCAACTTGTCTCACGAGTGGCATCAACTGTCTTGCTGACAATGTGATTTCAACTTTTCTAGATTTGGAAGAATGCAAGACTAATAAGTACACGCTGACCAATAAGCAGAATCTCACCTTATCACCGAAAGGTTTTCCTGAACCAACACTAACCTGTGCAAAGGGGTATTTCAATCTGATAGGAAGCAACACGTACACTTTATCAATACCGGAAGCAGGCAACGACAACTGTACAATTTCCAATGCTGCTGGAAAATGCCAATTTGAATACGAAGTACTGTTACACGGTAAGTGAGGCAGTATTCCAGTTTCATGCAACGCGTTCTCAGTATTCAGATGGGTCGGATCAGTTTTTAAGGAAGGCTTTATTTCATTTTTGTTTTCTTATTAATAACGTCGATATTTGAGCTGTCCAATGCAAAATCATTCCATTAATTATCTGGTCGACTAATTCACGCATTTTAATGAGCATTAAAATACAAAGAAATGTATCTAATACTTTATTCTTCTTCAAATATTTCTTTCGTTATTGATGTTGGACTTTTCCAAGAAATCGTATTTTAAAGATTGATGTATTGTCTTTGATATGGCGGTATAAAATAAGCCGTTGCGAAGTCCTAAACCGGATCCAAAATCAATACACCTTTTCAGTTGCTCTTAGGACTCGTGTTAAATATTCTTTTGAATTTGTAGGAATGTGAGCAATGCAAACATTGGTATGAATATAATAGTCTCGTTTGTCAAATTCAAAAGAATAATTAAGTTGCTATCGAGGCCTAGGTGCAACTGAAAAGGTGTATTGAAAATGCTTATCAAAGCAGGGGCGGCGGAGCCAAAATTTTTTTTTTTTTTTTGGGGGGGGGGGGCACAATCATAGACTTATAGTGATGACGTCACATCAACTTTTGCAAATGCATTTTACAACAAAAAAATGAATTATTTAATATTTCGAGGCTTTATGGGGTGGGACCAGGCCAACCCCCAAAAAATATTTTGTGGGAGGTGGCCCCCGGCCCCCCGGCCCCCTGGCCCCCCGGATCCGCCACCCCTGCAAAACAGCCGACATACTTTCCTTGTAAAAACACCCTAAAAACACTTTACATCCGGTTGTTGACTACCAGATTTTTCATCCCCACAAATCTTATTCGTTAGAACACATACTAAGCTACATTCCTGTGACAAAAAAAGATAAAAACACTTTAGCTAAACCGGTTCCATTTTCCTTCGAAGAACTGCCATTCTTTGACCTATCAGATTGTGGAATGCGAAGGTCCAAGTCGATTTTTCTGAGCAAAAACAAGAGATTTTGCGCTTCTATTTGATCTCGGAAATCCCTTGTCATCCGGTATTTTTTTCTATATATAATATACATGTATGTCCACCGCTATTTTTCCAATTGTAAAGTGTTTTAAATTTTATGCGTGTATAGTTGCGTTATAATTGGATACGTGTTGCTTTCAGTTGCACCATTTACATTTAGTGCGGTATTTCGCTTGACCAATCGTGCATACCGACAGGAATTTAACGACAAAAACTCCTCGAGTTTCAAGAAACTGAAAGAAGAAATTGAGAACGAGGTAAGTAGATTCATGAGGTTACAGAGTGTCTTAAGTAGCGACTTGTAATTCGTGCACTAGACCCGGCCCGGCTAAAATACTTTCTGATTTCAAGAAATATCAAAATTCAAATAACGGCAAGCCCGATTACTTTAACATTCCGGAACCAAATTGAAAAGGTCTAATCTATTTTTTTCGCGATTTCTTTTTTTTATTCTTTTTTTATTTTATTTTCTTCTATGAAGCTCAAGTCTGTGTATGAAAGCTACAAAATTGTCAACAGAGTGCGTGTAATTGCATTTCGGTAAGTTTATTTATGGCTATCGGTATTGGGTACATTCAATTGGGGATGATCGTAATTTTTTCACTCCTATACAATATTTGCCCAATTAATAATGGTAACTCTCTTAATCACATGAGATATTTTCACTAAGTATAGTTTCACTAAGCACAACCCACCCTATGTCAACGACTACTCACTGCATAAAGTGCACTAATGTAAACAGTGACAACCGAAATATCGTCCTGTTTTAAAGCACTCCCTTGATAACCTCTACAGCATGACTTAG